CAATATCTTCCAGTTTAATCATCATTATTCATCATTACAGCCCTTCAGAAGTCCACTGCTGAACACAGGCCTCCCGCAAGGTATGCCACAAAGCACGGTCCTGAGCCACCTGCATCCATCGACTTCCTGCATGTCTTACCAGGTCATCACTTCATCTAGTGGGGGGTACAGTTCGCCTACCGATACGAGGCTGCCACTCGAAAACCTTTTTTCGCCAATGGTTGTCGGTTCTTCGAGTTATATGGGCGGCCCATTGCCACTTCAGCTTACTAATCCATTGGGCTATGTGAGTCAGTCTGGTTCTACTGCGGATATCCTAATTTCTAAGTTTATCACACAGAGAAACTCCGAACATAGCCCTCTCCATAGCTCGCTGACGAACTTTGAGCGTCCTCATACGGCCAGCATTGAAGGACCACGTATCGGTTCCGTAGGTCATCACTGGCAACACGTATTGGTTGCACAACTTAGTTTTCAGGTTTTGAGGTATACCTGACGAGAAGATGTGTCGTAATTTCCCGAACGCTGCCCAGTCCTGATGAGTCCGTCGATTGACCTGTCGGTCGAAGTTGGACTTACCTATTCGGACTATTTGTCCCAGGTAAACGTATTCGTCAACAACTTCGAGCTTAGTGCTCCCAACAGCTACCGACATAGGTGTGACATGGACATTAAATATGCTTTTTGTTTTGTCCATGTTCATCTTAAGACCTATCCGTTGGGAGGCACTATTGAGGTCATTGAGCATAGTGCTTAAGTCCTCCAGCGATTCCGCCATAAAGCCTATATCGTCGGCAAACCGAAGGTGAGTGATGTACTCGCCATTGATGTTAATACCGTATCCTTTCATGCAGCGGTGAAGAGTTTCGGGGAAATAACGTTACCCTGTCTTACACCTCTCTGCAGTTGGATAGGTTACATACTCTGGTTCAGCACTTCGATATACCGACAGTCAACTTGGCACCGCTGAAAAGACTGTAGCACCGCCCAAATTTCGACGGAATCAAAGACTTTCTCATAGTCCACATACGCCAGGCAAAGTGGCAGATTGTACTCTTCGGATTTCTGTACAATTTGCCGGAGGGTATGTATGTGGTTTATGGTACTGAAGCCTTTTCGGAAACCGGCTTGTTCGGGAGGCTGGAAGTCGTCGAGTCTGCGTACGAGACGATTCGTAATGACTCTCGAAAACAGCACGTAGACGCGGCTCAGAAGGGATATCGGTCTGTAGTTCTTCAAAAGGGCGTTGTAACCTTTCTTGAAGAACAAGACCACCACACTTCTGCTCCACACCTCCGAAGTAGTGTCACCGTGAAGGATGGAATTAAAGAGCCTCTGAAGGATTTCAAGTACCGGTTTCCCACCCGCTTTCAGAAGCTCCGCTGTAATTCCATCCTCGCCCGGAGACTTGCCGTTTTTAAGGTGCTGGAGAGCCATTCTAACCTCGCTCAGACCGATGTCCGGGATATCATCATAATAGTATCGGATAAGACTTGCTCTTGGATCGTTACTCACACTTGCGTGTGGCTCCAACGATGATGTGTACAGCTGCACATAGTACCTCTCAATCTCACTCAGAATCTCAGGTGTCCCGGAAACGATGCTGCCAGTCTTCAGCTTTCAGCTTTGACAGTTGGCTCTTACTGGCAGACAGATCTCTGGCAAAGACTTTGGAGCCCTGGTTCCGCTCGATCGCTTCGTCAATACAAGCAGTATTAAAGTTCGTCTCAGTATTAAAGTAAGTCTCGCCGCATGCATTTGGAGATCTGTCTGTTCAGTTGCCTGTATGCTGTCAAATTTGTTGACGATTGCAGCCTCATCTCCCGTCTAACGGCCATGAGGTTAAAAGTGTGATCGAAGAGTTTTTGTATTCTTCTGCGGCAGGTCTTGTCGAACTTAGCTCCGATCGCATGGACAGTTTCCACGAGCTTGTCATTAATATCGTCCACTGCATTGCAATCTTCTAGGCACTGAAAGCGTTTACGTAAATCAAGCTGAAAGGTTTCGGGATTCTGGATTAGAGCACGAGGGGGACTGAGCGTTGACTTCATGAGACGAGACCTCTCCAACTTAACGTTTAGGTTCAGTGTGCCTCTAACCATTCGGTGATCGCTGCCAGTTTTCACCCTTGCGATCACTGAACAGTTGGCGTCTGTTCGTCATAATGAAGTCAATCTCATTTTTGTCGAACCGTCGGGGCTCGACCAGGTCCACTTCCTGTGGGGCCGCTTCTAGAAGAAAGAGTTCATCATAAAGAGTCCCTCTTTCTCCATAAAGTCTGCCAGCTGGCGGCCCCTACGGTTCCGTTGCCCTACTCCAAATTTCCCTAACTTCAACTCACCGCCTTCTCTTGTGACTAGTTTTGCGTTGAAGTCTCCCATCAACACCGTGTAGCGAGTTTTGGAGGAATGCATGGCTCTAGAAATATCCTCATACATTTTCTCCACCTCCTCATAGGGATGTGCCGAGGTTGGTGCGTAAACCTGTATGACCTTCAGCGAATACCGTTTGGTGATTCAGAGTATCAGGTACGCGACCCTCGTCGACACACTCCCAATCTTTACAACGTTGTTGACGAGAGACTTGTGGACGATAAATCCAACACCTTGGGACATATGGTCGCCCTCCCGGTGATAGAACAAGTAGCCGGACTCGAGGATTACCATATCCTCCTTCTCTCTTCGGACCTCGTTTAATCCAATAATATGCCAGCGCAACTTGTCTACCTCTTCTTCCAACTCCAGTATCTTCTCATCAGTCCTCAGGGTGCGTGCGTTATAATTATGTTGCCAGGTCGAGTCGTCGTAGGTGGCAACTGAACCTCCACCGGAGATTCTTAGCACCCCTGCCCCGCCGTTACTATGGTCGCCACCGTAGCCAGAAATAGCGGGGGGTTTGGGATATCCATAGTTGCCACGTTTGGCGAGCGGGTTGGCTATCGCAGTTTTTCCAGTTTATTAGGTATTAAACTGGAAAAACTGCGAACTTTATCAAAGGAAAAAAGATAAAGTACTACACTACGATACTACGAAAATAAAGCCGAATGCAAGATGTGCAAAAAAAAATAGGAAGGAAAGATTTCATTTCGTTAATAAAAAAAATGTTCCATCTAAATTGTGGCCCGACTCGAATTAGTCATTCACATATTATATATTGGCACTAACAAATACTTTCAAGTATTTTAAAATCTTGGTTGTCTGTCTGTCTGGAAGTATGTCTCATCTCTAGTACAAATTATACAAACAGACTGCGACCCAAATGATCGAATCTTTATAACCCCCGATCACCATACGAGTGGATCATTATCGACCCGGGTTATGAGAAACGATCAATTGACACAGCTCTAGTGTAAACCTTAATGATGTTATAAAATAAGGGTGACAACAGGTGCCAATATGCATTTTGATTCTTTAGTGAGGTTCTCGATCTGCATTTTGATTCAAATTCAAGATATATTTAGATGTCGATGTCTACATCGGTTTTGATTAAGAACAACAGACGGCTCAGATGGAATACATCATTTCCCAGAAAGTCCCTACGCTCACCATACGAAACATAGTAATATTAAGAAGCTATTTAACACTGGTATTCTGTGAGAGAGTAGTCCTTCCCCGGTTGAGCCGATCCGTTCGTGCTACAAACACAATATAACTGCAGCATGGTTCTACCACATAAAATCACCTTGATTAATTCTCACTTCTTTTCTATCACTCATATCTATTAAAATATATAGTTATCATTATCAGATCTTAAGAGGATACCTTGAAAATGAATCATAGTTTTGAGGGCATGTCTTATTCCTTTGTCGGCAAAGCTCACGGACGACTAAGGGAGTGTCAAAATGAAAGTGATGCAATGACTTCATAATACGCAAATTGAGATAGCTATACTGAGCACATGCAGGGAAAAAAAACTAAGTAAACGCCAAACATTATAATTTTTTTTTAACAAAACTTCATTATGGATTAAAAAAAAATGGTTTATGAGAACTTAGATATGATTACTATACTATGCCTTAAAGATAATTCCAGGAACTTACTCGTAAAAATATAGTGGTGTCATGGAGAAATGTAACTAATTAGAGCCTCCTTTGCAATTTTTTTCTATTGAGAAAATTACATCATACCATGTTTTCCTTTTATGGAATCCAAGGTCATATGATCAACAATCATATATCAAAATTTTGGGTTTGTAATCTATAAAACTTAAAAAAATACGTGAAATAGAAAAACCACCAAATTTTCGAGGTATTACCTTAAATAGATACGTATTTCTGATGTGATTTGTTATAAATGTTTATCACATTACCAATTTAGCACATTGTACGAAATCTGTACGGAGAGTGGGGGAATTTCGGACACTTAATATTACAACAAAAACTGTAACATTAGCGGTAATCAGTATATTTTTCAATAAAATTAAACATTGGTTATATTCTTACAACATTAATCATAATTCTTTATTTGTAACTAATCAACTACTGTTAAATATTTAAAAAAAATCTTCCTGTCTATAATTACCATATCGGGTAAATACGGACACCATTTGGGGTAATTGCGAGTACTCTGGGGTAATTACAAACGATCTATTATTACTAATAAAATGACAAATAAAATCACCAGACATGGATCCCACACACTGTATCACATCCTCTGCGGGTGGTCCTCAGTCCTTTTGAATTGCCTACAGTTTCGTGATCACTTGGAAGAGAAGGCCAAATTGGCTTCTAAAAAGCTTGTTGTGCTCAGCAGAGCAGGACAGTATTTCATGCCGGCATACCACAAGCGGCAACTTTAAAAGTCGCAGGTTCGGCCTCATATGGAATACTGTTCCCATCACTAGCGCCAAAGTCAAAAGCTTGTTTCTTATACTTATTTAATTATGAGATATTGGTCACTGTGATTAAAATTGTTCATGAAAACATGATCATCAAATTCTATAAGACCAAAAATAATGTACATACATAAATATGAGTGAAAATTAGTATAAGTACTACAAACCTTCAAGCTATCAGTAGTTGGTTCACATATGGTTGGCATCTGAACAGGTAAAGATGTAGTTGGGTTGGCTATGGTTGGCACCTGAACAGGTAACGAAGGTTCCAATTCTAGCATCTGAAAATTACAATGAGACGATTTTTGTGAACAAAGGTGATGATCAGTTTCAACATTACCTGAGTAAGAATCATTATGGTGATATTAATCTAGATAATTAACAAGCATTAGTTTGTTTCTTATTTATATGAGAAATTGGTCACCATGCTCGAAATAGGGAATATGCATAAAAAATATTCATAAGACATACAGTTTATCTAAAAATATACAAAAACATAATGCTAACAGGGCTATAGAATCAAAATTGATATAAAAACAAACAAGATATAACCATTTTCCATAATTATATCTATCCCTCTCCCGAAAATGCTGTTTTGTGTGGCAGATGTATGGTCTGCACAGACATTGCCGTCATAGTCTTTATCAGACTTTTCTTTCTAATTGCTATCTTTGTAGCTTTATAACATTGTCGCTGATGAAGGTATTTTAAAAATTATTTCATAATTGTTTACTAGAGCTAATAGTTAATTAATTTTGCAAAAAAAAATGCATGCATATTCCCTATTGCCCAGGAAAACATCATCATCAAATTCTATAAGACCAAAAATCTGAACAAAAGTTTTACAAGTTTTAATGTTGTACATACATACATGTGAGTAAAAATTAGTATAAGTACTACAAACCTTCAAGCTATCAGTAGTTGGTTCACATATGGTTGGCACCTGAACAGGTAATGAAGGTTCCAACACTTGCATCACACAATCACGAAAACAAACACATTTCTATACTCTGATATGTATATCAATAACAAGTGTACGTAACATTCACAGATTGAGTCGTGCAATTTTGAATTAGAACTATTCAAATAAATTATGTCCTTAAATAAGAAAAATCTAAAGATAAAAAACAGCGACAAAAAAGAAATGCAGTCAAGGCGGTCACTGCACTTAATTGTGTACTATTTTATGTAGAAAACACAAATCTACAATATCTCATCTATTTCGGAGAGACATCATTTTAAACTTATCCAGTCGCTGATAGTAAGGCTGCCTATGTGAAATACCACTTGGATGAAAGGCAAGATGTCGAGTAAAGGCGCGCTGTACACTTTTAACCCGTTGGGAGTGCACACTAGAAGATGGATTCCATATGACACCAGCAAATTCAAGGAGACTTCTTACAAAAGCATTATATAAATTATTTTTGACACCCTTTGTGCTTAATAAATCCTAAGAACTTCGCGGCTTGATTAACTATAATGTTTATATGAGATTTAAAGGTTAGCTTTCTGTCAATAGTTACTCCTAAGTCTTTAATTACCGGTATGTCTTGCAAAACTACATTACCAATTGAGTAACTAGAGACAAGTGGTTTTATTTTCCTGGTGTTTTATTTTATTTTGTGAACAAAGGTGATGATCAGTTTCTACATTTAAATTATCAGGATGTTTCAAATGCCATATTATTCTCATTTTTGTGTTCAAGTCGTTGAAAGCTTCATGCTTGAACTTCTAACAAAAAATAGTAAGTATACTTTTATGAAAACCATTATATGAGATTGAGGGTTGTGTATTTATTTTGGTTTTTAACAATACTATGGTTGACGTTGCGTTAACTGTTTTTTTTTATAGGATGGGGTGACAAACGAGCACACAGTCCACCTGATGGTAAGTGGTTGCTGTGGCCCATAGACATCTACATCTATCCTCAATTATGAATCAAAATGCAGATGCATTGAGGACTAAGATGGAATGCCTCGTTTCCACTAAAATGGGTCTCCGGTTCTCTACACTCACCATATAAAATACAGCAGCATTAAGCTACTATTTCACGCTGGTATTCTGTGAGAGCGTGGTCCTTCCCCGGTCGAGCCGACCCATTCGTGCTACAACTATACATCTAATATAACTGCAGCATGGCTCTACCACATATAAATTTTATTATTACTGATACAATTTTATTATTACTGATACAAGTCTGCTCTTGACCTGAATCATACCTCATGAAAATTAATGAGGTCTATTTATTTATTTAAGCTTTATGTGCAATAGTGGTACAAGGGCAGACTCAATGCATCAAGACATTCTCTACAATCAACCTTTTGGTTATTTGGTTTCTCTAAAACAAAATAAAATTTAAAATAGAATTTAGACAAGGCCTATTAATTTATTTCTGTGAGCTTAAGTAGTTGTTTGACTGTACCTATAAATTCCAACCACATATCAAGCTTTATGATTGATGGAGTTTTGAGTAATATAGTAATTAATGTTAACTTACTTGAGGTTTTTCAACTGAAATACTTGTATCTTGTTTACTTTCACTTGCAGTGGTACATTGTTCCTGGCGAATCTTTACCATTAAATCCTGTGTCCCAATAGGGATGGCAAAATTATGTAATCTTATCCTCGCACTGTTAGTGAATGAGGAGTCATCAAAGTGCTTACTGCATAACATTTTGTGTTGCCAGTGCAAGTCTCTTAGTGATTTCTCAGTTGACCACTCTCCAGTAGGGTAACAGTATTCAGCCCATACACGTGCCCTGAAATTATTGATTTTTATAAATCTAATAGTGTAGTTTTGATCACAGTTTGGGAGGCCTTCCACAAGATAAGACCAATAACCTGGTAAGGGTTGCGGCTAGCAGATGGATGCGAGACGCACAGGTCTCGTCATTGTGGTGACGAAGGATGAAGGAGGCCTGTGCCCAGCAGTGGAAATATTTCGGCTAAAAACTTAAAAAAGTGTAATTGACAACAACCATCATGGTCCGGGTAGTCTCGTACAAGGTAAAGTTTATGTATAGTATGTTGCATTGTTAAAAACATTAAGTACTAGGTACTTAATATTAAAAACATTAAGCACTAGGTACTTAACACGTTGATGGACAGTAACGCCTATAGACGTTGCGGTAAAGTTTGCGATATGACAGAATGTCTGTCGACGTTCGAGTTTTAGCCCTTATAATATCAGTACGCCTTACGACGTCCTAGATTCCTTCAAAATGTATGAAGCGACATTTTGTACTGTCACTGTACATACAATTTTTGTATTTGTACTGTCACATCGTCAAGTTTTACACACATTTGAAAAAAGTCCGGTCACTCACACAACGACGATTTTGTACTACCCCGCGAAAGCACAGTACGCCTCTCGACGTCATATTTACATATATTCAGTGAAGTAGTGCGCGTAAGTGGTGCCCCACGTGCTTACGCGCTGTTTTTGCAACCAAATATTTCGTAAAGGTAAGACACGTGTAATTTTATACGTTTTGTTTTGTTTTATTAGTACTTACAATAAATAATACAATTTTTCGAGCCTTCTAAGTTAGACTTTTAGAATAAAAACATATGATTGGGTCTTATTTTGTTTGTAAACGAAACGATTTACTTTTCCGACGGATCCCTTTGAGGAAAATCAAAGACGGTTACAGAAATTATTTGATGGCGCGTCCACTCCCGATTCCTCTGAAGAACTGTTTGTGGATGATGGAGAATATGGATCAGAAAAGGATTACCGACCTTTTGGAAGTAGATGTTCGATTTCTAAAGACCCAGGTGGAAGTTAGCAAACAAGTCACTTGCAAGAAACAGCAGCTATAATCTGGTGTGAGTCTTCTGATTCTTCGGGTGATGATGATGATAGAACTACATGTTCGTCCTTAGAATGTCATCAAAATACTGATGATGTTCAGAATCATGTCGAAAATGACGACAGAACTTCATGTTATTCAGTAGAACGTCAAGAAAATATGTATGATGAACAAATAACTGCTGGGCCTTCAAATAATGAAATGTTTGCAACCGAGTCCCAGAACATCTCTAATCAGCCAAACTTTGAGCATATTATTAATCGATCTATTTTACTTATTACAGAGGAGTCATGGTCTACATTAGTTACTGAAATACCTGAATTCGATTTTGCCACGTCTGAATGTGATTTGACTGCGAATATTGAAGATAAAAATAATGTTGTCGATTTTTTTCATCTCGTTTTTCCACAAAATTTCTTAGAATTTATTGAAATCTGTACAAACGGTTATGGGAACAGCCTCTTTAACACTAACAGACCTCATACTAGACATAGTCTTAAAACAGTACATCGTGAGACTAATTGCGAAGAAACTATGAAGTTTTTGGGTCTCACTCTTTTGAAAGGTCTCTTTGTAAAACTCTTTGTAAAATGCCCCAAGCAAAGAATTCTCTTTTCGCCATCAAATCCACTACATTATGATCACGTATTGAGCTACACGATGTCAGAAAGAAGATATGAACAAATTTTGTGTTGTTCATATGCAGCAAACTTGGATGCCAAAGGGGATGATAAGATCGTACAACCAATTGATATGCTAACACTAAACTTCAAAAAAATCTATAACTCTGGCTAAGAACTGTCGTTAGACGAGTCTCTTCTTTTATTTCGAGGTCGTTTGCACTTTCGCTAGTCAAATCAAAAAGGCTTGCTATGGCATCAAATTTTTCCAACTACCAACACCTGAAGCTATGTTCTGAACATGAAAATGTATAGTGGAAAGCAAGCTTCAACTCCTGAAACTGGATCAAAAACTGAAAAACTTGTTTTAAAGTTGATGCCTTCATACCCATTACGTGGTTATAATTTATTTATGGACAACTACTACAATTCTGTGAGCTTGTCACAAATATTACTTGAATTGAGAACTCATACAACTGGCACTTTACATACAAATCGCAAAGATAATCCTAGACAGTAAAAAAAACTGTAGAAAGGTGGAAGACGTGTCTCGACGCCATCATCGACAGGCGTTCTGGCAAATCATGCACTTTAAATGCACATTTCGGGTTGGGTTTACAATTCGGTCGCCTGAATTTGAAGATTCTGTCACTGTGGGGGAGTCAAGGGGGTTTATCTGAAGCACCCCCACTCGATTTTTTCTGCGGGAGCAGCGCGAAGTATTTTTAATTATTTTTTAAAAATATTGGTAAATGACTAATTTAATTACGTTTTTGACGTTTCATCTGTCAATGTCAAATCGATATATAGTACTGAATCGATCTAGTGAATCGATATTTCACCCTAGAGAATCGAGATCGAATCTTTTTCTGTTTTATTTAGATTTGCAAAATTATTTACAATTGGTTGAATGTACCCCAACTCGTAAAAAATGACAGTTTTTAATTTAATTATTCAATGTTATCTGTACTTTATTGTATCTTTTGATATCGTAAATATAAACTTTTAACGCAAATAAAAAAAAACGATTTTTTGCGAAATTGATCTTTAAGATTTCGATTTTTTTGTGAATCGATTCATCTAACTTCGATTTGAATCGATTTAAAAATATGTAAAATTAAATCGCTATGCCGGCCATTTTGTTGACAGCTTTTCCTCACGGTGTTGCTTCCGTGTTTCAGAATTTTGGTGAATAGTGAAATATTTGTGGCGGCGGAATACTGCTAAATATCGCAAAGATCTTTTCTTACAAATGGTGGCAGCCATAAATTATGTTTATAAATTAAAGTAGTTAGGAAAGTTAATAATTTGGTGTTATATCGAGTGTAATAGCGAGCGAAGCGAGCGAATAGATCCCGTCATCCTCTTCATGGTTATTTTTTTGTAAACCACTCAGAAGTAGGAGCCCCGCGAAGCGGGCTCCGTCGACCGGACGTCCCTCGACTGCACCACGTTAAGTGGCGTGGGGCTTCCATCCTCCAACTCTCTCTACCCATAAATCAGGTTAAAATTGTCATAAAAATTACGAAACATAACCTCAAAATGAGATTTTTAAAAATTAATAAAAAAAAAACTAACTCCCCCCACGCCACCCCCCACCCCCAAATTCAGGCGACCGAATTGTAAACCTTACCCCACATTTCATGTGCCAGTTAGAGATGAGTCGTACTAGGTAAATTTCGTACTAGGTGCACCTAGTCCAATTCCGTATAAATACTCGATCCAAATACCTGTTCCACCTAGTCCATAAAGTATCAAGTACACATAAAGGTTAGTATTGTTGGAATAGGAATAGGATACGCTATAGCAAAGAGTATAATAAGTACAGGAAAAGAGAGCCCTCTGACGTTATTTTATTGCAGACAAAATTGAACTACTAGCGCCTCCTACAAATTGAATCCGAACTAATTCGCTATATATCTAGCTCTACATATACCTCTTCTATAGTAGTAAAATGTATAATATTGTTCTTTAATTCGTATACATACTGAAACAGTTTTACTGCCTACTTTTTGTAATACTGTTTTTGATATTATTAAAAGTAGGTAAAACAGTTTCAGTAAGTACACTGGTATTTATGGGGTATTTGCAATGAAACAAGAAAGATAACGATGAGCACACGCAAAAAGTAGCCACCATTTTGACTTTCATTTTCGTTTGAATATTTGACGTTTTGAAGTTTAGGGTGGCCAGTATCATAATTATCATAATCGATTGATTTCATGATGTTTAAGTTTTTATTTTATGTGAAAATAATATTTGTTATAAACAAAATCACCAATAAATTTATCGTGCATTTAATTTAATTTTTAAGCTAATTTTAGTTTCTTTTTAAAAGTAGCGACATCTGTAAAGACCTTAGACCAATAATAAACATAATGTTTTCGGAAACAAATTATGGATGGCGCTACCTTCAATTGAATTCTTGTGGTCCAAGGCAACTGTCCTACCCCCCCTGCGCTATAGTTTCAAGTACCATATTTTACGTGCGTACTGCTGAAACGTGTGCAATAATGAATTCATACATCTTCCCTTCATACTTTACAAAATTATTATAATTATTCTCGTAACTAAATTACGAGAATTAAGGTTATATGAAAAATAAATTAAGATCATTTACTTCCAATTACTTCAAATGCTACTTAGTAGTACTTCATATTTTGTAAAATTTGTTTTAAAAGATGTTTATCTTTGATTTATTTGAAAAACTCTAGAATGGGAGTACTCACCTATTGATTTTGCATGTCTTGATTTTAAGCTGCTATGTTTTTTTTACTATTGCTATAATTCTATAATTGGTTGATGCAGCTCATACTAAAGACGGAAGGGAGAATTTAAAGTGGATTATTTTCATTTATCTCTCATATAATCTTAATAGTAACGAGCCTAATTATAATATTTTTTTAGAATATTGTTTGCATAATTCTTATAAATAACATTAAAAAAAAGAATTGTTCTGAAAAATAAAAAGTGAGTTTGTCAGTTCTGGCGCACGACTGAAGTTCACTCCCCTTACGAACGATTATAAAATATATAGATTAGTAAATGTGGGTAAATGAACGCATTTTTATACTACTAAAAGCATGCATGACACATTTACTTATATTAATTATTTAATGTATATTCATCAAAATATATTACATAATCATCGAAACGTAAATTGTTTACGCTTCCAATACTATGTTATGTAGTCATGGAAACATGAAAACAGCGTCCACCGAGATCACATTCGCATGAGTCCGTACCGTATTTGACAATAGACACTCGCCTGCCTTGTACTCTTGTATAAGTATTTGGTTGAACTAGTCCGAGTCCCGACTAGTCTCGTACTAGTATTTGGTTGAACTAGTCCGAGTCTCTACTAGTCTCGAGTCTCGAGTATTGACAGACAAAGATAGAAAGACTACGGAATAGTCTAGTTAAAAAAGGACAGAATATATTATTATACAACAAACACGAGTGCGCGTCACGTTACCTTTATGTCCATTAAAATTTGGTTCAAATTCAAATGACTGACAAACTAATGATTTAGGCAAAGACGACCCGAGTTGAGCGCCTAGTAACTATACAGTCTACGGTAATAAAATACGAGTACGACGCGTAGGCACAGTGAGACTAGATGGATCAAGTATTTTAAAAGTTGGAATAGGTGCAACCTAGTCTCGTTAAATACTTAGTCCCTGGATCTGTTCTAGTATATACGCTTCATCTCTAGTGCCAGTACGTCGTGAGACGTTTACGTCTATATCCGTTGTGTCACTATAGGTAATTATTGACGCAGTGTTGTGACACAACGCCTATGGCCAATGTATGGAAAAAAGTAGTGTATTTTCAAGCGCAATCGGTAAGCGAGTACTGTCCAGCAACGTGTTAATATGATAATGAGGGAAAAAGTAATAAAAAATTAGATTAGCTTAATTACTTACTTTAAAAATGTATGTCTACCAGGTAGAGGAAATCTGTGGAAACTCAAGTTTCCATCTTCTGTGGCAGTGATGTTACACTTTGCACACTTTCTTTTTCGTTCATAGCGCGTATGGCGTGACATATTAAGAAATAATGCTCAGACACACGTACACAAAATAAAAAAAGAAATGAGTCTATATCTCGTAGAATTGTCCAGGCACAAAGAATTACAAACACCAAATAATATAAGGAGTCTCTATCTCTAAGTGTCCAGCGGGCACACAAAACAAAAACACAGCAGCACGAAATAATGAGTCTCTATCTCGTAAAAATCTTCAGGCACATGCTATAAAAGCAAAGAAATATACAATAAAAATAAAAATATTTTAAATTTTAAAGTATGTTTAGCGCGTAGGCGCGTAGACAGAGAAATATATTTTATTTGTTATTATTTTTTTATTATTAACTGGCTTTACGGCTCTGGGTTCTAGCCCTTCTGAGACTATTAGCGCGTTCGATAAACAACCATCATAGATTAACCATATTGCAAGAATAGAAAAAAATCGTAGATAGAGAAAAAATCCTCAACTCGTCAACGGTTTGTTTATGGCGGTTTATAGAGTGTAGAAGTAAGGAGTACAAACTAAACTCTATTCCAATTACGAAGTCCCATTTGACAGATGTCAATAATCAAGAAAGTACCGCTATAGTCGATACTTGACGATATTGATCTTCGATTACTTTAACCAACAAATTAAAATCGTATTGACAGAAAAAGGATTAGCATCAAATTAAAATTTATAAAACTGTTTTTTTTAATTTTAATTAGATAAATTACATGATATTTTTATCAAGATGGAATATATTCATCATCACTAGCCGAAATCGATATTTCATGGTCGGCATCGTCGTCATCACCCTCATCATCGTCTGTAGAATCCCCTGTATTTATTATAATTTGGTTATCTATGATGGCATCGATATGTACGTAGACAGAGAAACCTATAGACAAATTGACGCCTTCTTTCGCATTCGCACACGAAAAAGATAGATTTATGCATACGCCTTGCATAGAAATGAGATAGAGCGGTGTGATTGTTTGTCCCTTTCACCGTGTCGGTTTTTTTGTTTAGCAAACTCTACAGGTTGCTAAACAACTTTGAAAGCGTAGCGATTTAAGGAGTTTACAAGTTGGTTTAAGTGAGAAAAAAGTGTTTTATGAGCCTAAGATTGGTGAATCTTGTTCAGTTCAGTTCTTAGAACAATTAAATTTTTTATCTAAATGTATTTAAAAGTCATAAAGATTATTGTATAACCTAAAAATTCGTTATCGTCGTTTCTCACTCGAGACCACGCCGATCATTAGTCTATAGGTTTCTCTGTCTACGGATATGTATGTCTCTGTCCCAATCAGCGAAAATCAAATTTTTTGTTCGTAAAACCAGTGGCGTAGCTACCTTGGGTGGCACCCGGTGCGGAAGTTGGTGCTATCACCCCATCGAAAGTAAAAAGCAATAAATTTTACATGATAAAGGGCATGGATCATTTATTATTTATAATATTGAAAATAACAAAACACAATAATAACTAAGATAGAAAAGGAATTGTTATACAATTAAAATTTCTTCTTTCTAGCTTTGACAGCTGCAAACTCAGCAATAGCTTCATCGAAATTCATATTTTGTATTGCCTCGTGTTCGATGGCTAATATACCAAGATTGCTAAGTCGCGATTGGGTCATTGTTGCCCGCAAATAGTTTTTTATTAAATTTCATTTTCTGAAACTCCTCTCACATGAAGCTACGGACACGCAAACCGTCATGAACAATTTCATTGCAATTATAAGATTTAGAAGAGATTCTGTAAAATCCCATTCTACAATAAACTTTAAAAAATCTAGAGACACCCAATAAGTAACCGTAACATTAACGGCTTTTAAGTGTCTTCGCAGTCTTGGTATCTCCAAAAGTAATTCGGTTTCTGAGACCTCATAATAAAAAATCAGTAAATTTAGATGTAGCTAATTTCAGTTTTTCGGTATTCGCCAAAAGCAAAACATTAGTTTGTACGATCTCGAACAATGAAGCTACATCTTGAAGAGATTTCGAAAGCGTCGGTCTCTTTTGCAGGAATCCCCGAATTATACATAGAGCTGAGCTAGTGCTAGTGGAGGAATCCCCGAAAAAGAAATTTTTGTGCTAGCGATTTATTTATTTTTTGTTTGTACATTGTTCTTAAAGTTGAGAGACCGGGTGGGTGTCACCTCAAGAAAGTGACACCCGGTGCGGCCCGCCCCCGCTGCCCCCCCCCCCCTTTGCTACGCCACTGTGTAAAACCAAACTTTCCCAATTCGCGGCAGTAACACTATCACAAGCTTCTTGCAACAATGACAGCATTTTGTTTGCAGTAAACGGTGGTCTGGTATTTTTACGAGCCGCATAACCTAAAATAAAGGTTTGCGTGTTAATATAGCAACAGATAAAATGTTAAAATAGGTAAAAATAAATTATAAAATAGATTTGTTTAAATTCTTCCCTTTAATTTGCGCCCAAATCAATTCTATGGCATTGTATTGACAATGGTAGGGTGGAACGATCATTACAATGTGTCCGGCTTCCTTAGCCATTTCGTCCAATACGTATTTTGGTCTAGCTGGCTTATTCATAGCAACAAAATGCAGCAGCTCAACTTTTAACACGGACATGTCACCAACAATATTATTGTCATTCAGCCATTTCATAATATCGGCTTTTTTGCTGCTAGAAGTTGGAGGCTTACTTAATTGTACTGAATGATACGGTGCATTATCCATAATGATCGTCGATGTCAATAAGGTACAAAACCATTCCTTAAATTTAAAAAAATCGTCTTTTCGTGGTATTCCACAGTTTTCTTAGATTTAAACGCCAAGAGGCAGTTCGGAACAAATCCCTTCATGGAACCCGCATGGCAAATAATGAAGCGTTCGCCTTTGCCACTAGGTACTTTTGTGGAGGAGTGAGGAGTGTCGTCTGTCCATATCTTGTCAACTGTATGATTAGCGTTTAGCCACGTCTCATCTAGAAATATAACATTATTCCAAACGGCAATGGACTTTGCTGATCTTAGAAAATTAAATCTGGCTAAAGCTATATCTCTACGTTCCATCAAAATCCGCCTTTTATCACATTTTTTATAAGAAAAGCCAACATTTTTTAAAAACCTCCAGAAAGAAGTTCTACTGCCGTGAAACACTCCAGATTCCCGTAAAGTATTTGACAATTTATCGAGAATCGGGAATTCGTTCCTACTATAGTAGCCATAGATATGGTTTTTTTTTTTTTAAAGAATATTAACAATGCTATAAACATTACTAATATTCCCGTTAACCACTCGTGGTAAGCTTAAATTGCTTGTGTTACGAGTGGTTCACGCCAGTAGTCGAATGGTGGATTCGAACCCACGACCTTTTAGAGTTCGCGGTCCGCGCCCTGCCATTAGGCTACTGTCACTTTTTAAATTTCTAAGTTTCTAATGGCGTCGTTATCAAAATTGTCGATATTTGTAACTATCGATCTTCTTTTTTCTTAAGTGGCGATTTAAATTTGTTATCTTCCATTAAATCTTTACCATGTTTTTCCTTACTTATTCGAGAAACAATATTTCGATGAATACCAAGAGCTGCACTTACTCGGTTAGTCACTTGTGAAAGTGGCAACAATGGACCACCATTCAGATACTCTCTTTCAAAGTAATCTTGTAGGCGTACTACAAACTCTCGCGCTTGACTGCGCATCACTGTTCTTTTAGTGGTCTCAGTTTCGGCCATAGTGTTTTAAATACAAAAAAAAAAACAAATCAAATAACAGTAAAAACTTAATAACAACGAAAGAATTATCAAGTCAAGTATCGACTATAGCGGTTTTTTACTAGTTCTTGATTATTGACATCTGTCAAATGGGACTTCGTAATTGGAATAGAGTATAAAGTCGTTCGAAACCTTTGAGTATAGAAAATATGCTCAAAGTTCGAAACGACTATAAATCAATAGCACGCTACAGACTATAAACTATAAATTTCTTCTCGACGGTAAATCTGCGCGAAATCACTCTTTCGATGTGATCTCTGGAAAACGAATTTTAACTTTTTTTATTTTTATTATAATAGTCTATAAGTTCTTAATCTAAATTAATATCTGGCTTGAATGGATGTATCATATTATCTATATAATAATGGCAAATCACCGATATTCACAACCCTTTTTCCGAAAAGTAACGATCAAGTGGTTTTTGTCTGCGTTTTACAACGAAACTACAAAATATTTCAAACATTAAAAAATATAAATAACATAAGTCTATTTGTTTGTAGCTAGATCAGTTTTTTGAATCTCTATCCAAATATAGCAGAAAAAAATTGTTGAAATAACGTAATTTCCAGAAAACTTCGTTCGAAATAAGTATTTTTTTCTATTACATAGAAACTTTTAATTAATAAAAAAATTACACATTAATCTTAAGATAACCCTTTATTGGAACGTAAACATTTCCAGAAATTGTACGCCGACCACCAAATTTTGATCAGGGTAAGTATATTTTTTTGATAGTTTGTTTATTAAGAATAATAATATGTTGCACTCCTAGTATTTATAGAAAAAGTTCAGGTGTGCGTGTTCGTAATTCTTGTTATCCCAAACGGCTATACCAATTATGACGATTTTTTCTTCGTATGGGATCACCTGGGTGGTTCTTAGTACCTAATAGTTAGACCCGGCTGCTGTCTCAGTACGTCTGCTATGTTCATTGATATTTTATTTTTGATAGTTTTTTTTAATGATTATTACCCATTTCAGATACCATTCATAAAATACGATTTTGTCTACTGTTGCATTTCATTATGTCCGCATGAAATAATGCAAAAATACCGCCCGCGGCTGCATCGAATTGGGTCAAAACCTTACCTAAATTGTGATCTATGGCAGGGTGACGAACCTATAAAGATCAACGTGCCATTCTTTGTAAATAAATGTTTAAAGCGGCCATAGATGTGCCATCCAATAATTGAGACCTAGCAATTATTGGGAAAATAAATAATAAAAACAATGATAGCAACTCCACGCACCGCGCCTACTCACTCCGTAACGTAGGCTTAGTCGCGTTCTTTTGTTTTTCATAGTGTTTGTTACATACTTTGTCGATCGGTGGCGTGCCCAAAATGTTTTTCCGCGTGCCATTGGTTCGCCATCCCTGATCTAGGGTATGCTCTGTAGGTAACTGGTTATAATGTATAATTTTGTTGTAGACAATGGGACGAATAAAAGGAGCACGTTACCAGTGCATTACTAAAAGAAGAAAAAAATAAGGCAGGATTGGCATATGCTAGACAAATTCTTGCATAACGTAATTCTAATACGAATTCGTCTCTAGAACACGTGAGTTTTTAATTTTGCTCAGCGCTAGACGTCCATAAAGTGCAGACGCCAGCACGTCAACCTATCCCAAGCTTTAAAATTTTTCTCTTCCTACCTTCTCATTTTGTAATAAAGTAAAAAATCTATTAAAAGAAATTTGACAGATATTTAAAGAAATTTGACAGATTGGCGTAGGTTCATGTGCTGGCGTCTATAAATTCAATGTATTGTTATTTTATTCATATTCATATTCAAAATTAATAATTTTAGGATATAGATGACACTGGAAGTTGTGAAAGTGCAGTTTAAAGGTGATGTTGACCATTCACATCAGCTTGATTTAGGCATGGTAATTATCATCTTGGTCTCAATTACATCACCGCTCAAAAATATTTAGAAACCTTAATTTTTCTTCTTATTAGACCTTTTAAAATCATATTATTAAGCCAAATACTTTGGAGTGGTAATGTAAATAAATTATTAATTTATAATAATTATTATAGGTATCTAAATGATGTGCATAATTTTAACTATTTATCCTTTCAGAATAAGGAAGATAATGGTTTGAAGTTAGTAAATACTTATAAAAATTCAGTAATTCCAAATGTTGAAGAAGTACAATCAGACATGGTAAGAAATGCACGTTTATTATGTTTTCAGGGTTCCGTAGTCAAATGAATAAAAATAACATAGATTCATATCATATTTTAAACTAGAAAGTTTAAAAAATAAATTAGAATTTGGTTTTTTTAATTTAAACTTTCTCTGCAAAATACTATGATGCAATTTTTTATTTGCAATCGACGACGTAATCAATATGTTGCATGCGTAAATACTCATCCCAATCACTGTGATGAGTAGGGCCGGACAAGCACCTAGCCGCTTTTTAAAACCTAATATTTTGCATTAAAATTAATACGATTTGTTACAGAACAAAGAAAATGACAATCAACATCAGGAAAATACACCAATGGATTTATATACCGATCACGACTTTGTGATTGAATCAAATAAGGTATTATTATCAAATGCTTTGTATTTATTCAATACCTAACATATTTATAATCACGTTTTTGTGACACAAAATTTGTCGGAAACAATTTTGTTTCAGGAATCACCAGACTCACCTATACTTATTAAAGGGCGAAGAATTGTCGATTTCTAATATTTATTTGAGCAATTGATCACTATATCTAACCATAACGATAGATTTGGATGTAAACTTTCAAATCTGATAATAACAAAAGAAAAAATGCAGTTGTTTTCATCCAAAATTTATTTATCATGTGGTATGTGCGGAAGTAATTTTCAGATAAATACATGTCAGGAAATAACAAATGCATTAGGAGTTAACCATAGCGCTGTTTCGGGTATAATCAGTATTGGATGTGGCCGAGCAAACCTAAACGAACTAGCAGCTTCTATTAATTTGCCTCTTATTAGCAAATGTTATGACGACTTGTATAACTGGTGGAAGACCACAGCTGAATCTTCCATGATTGAAGCCGGTAAGGATGAAGCTAGTATGGCTTTGGAAAAAGGGAGTGTGAGTCCTTCAGGCATACCTTCCATATCGGTGACAGCTGATGGTGCATGAGGTAAAAGATCATATAAAACAAATTTTACATCCGCAACAGGTGTAGCAGCAATAATAGGGCTAAACACAGGCAAAATACTACACGTTGGCATAAAAAATAAATATTGTATCATGTGTTCTCGTGCAGCCCACAAAATTAAAATACCACCAGATCATCAGTGCAATGCAAACCACACAGGCTCTTCACCAAGTATGGAAAAGTCAATTATAGTTGAGGGATTTCGAAGTTCTGTGGAAACACACAATTTAGTTTACGCAAAACTTATTGCAGATGGAGACTCGAGCACCTTCAAGAATATTTTGGAAAGCAGGCCGTATCCAAATGTAATAGTAGAAAAAATTGAGTGTTCCAATCACCTAATGCGGAACTATAACGGCAAAATTTCAAATCTAATAAGAGATACGTCCATTCCCTTAAATCAGCGTAAATTTCTAAATACATAACGCGTGAAACGATTGCGCATTGCTGCAAAAGCAGCAGTAAGGTTCAGAATGGCGCAGGATTTTCCCTTTAACGGAAAAAATTAAATCTCTGCAGAAAGAAATCGTAAACAGCCCCAAGCATATATTTGGTGACCATTCCCAGTGTGATGGATACTACTGTGATGACGAGAAAAGGTCAGAAATAAACCTTATGCCTGATGCCAAAATATTAATCCAAAAACTAATTGCAATTGCATCTATCCTGGCATTCAGTACGCGGAGTTTGTTACACAACTTAAATAATAATAGAGCTGAACAATTTAATTCTATAGTAGCCAAATATGTAGGTGGCAAACGCGTCAATTATTCTTTAAAAAATTCATTTGCCTTGAGGTGTTATGCAGCGGTCGTTGCTTTTAATACTGGGAAACCTATAAGCGAACATTACAAAACCATTTTTAACAGCAGTCCATCAACAGCAACCAAAAAATTTGAAGCGCAGAAATGTTAACTGAACCAAAAAAAGAAAGACAAAAACAAACCCAGACGCAGACTATTATTCAACAATAACAACATGGATTACGGCGATTCTTGCCAAAGGCCGGACATGACAGATGAGCAATATTTAGCGGCCAAGGCATTGTTTCTGCAAAACCTCAAATCCTTAACAAAGCAAAGGCATGATATCGAAAGGGAGACTATATTGCAGGCGTAAAGCGCCTTGTGGTTGGAGTTACGGAGATGCCTTTTGACTGAATAATATAAGTTCTGCAGGTCTTGTTAGAAATTTGCTGTATAAATATTCCATTGGCCACGTTGCAGCCATTCAACATGGCAAATCTAACGAGCGGAATGCATTGGCTCAGTTGGAAAGGCAAGAACACCTCGTTTATGAAAAATGTGGTCTATTTATTATCGATGTGAAGCACTTTTTCCTGGGTTCAACACCAGATGCATTATTTGAAAACGGAATCGTCGAATTAAAATGCCCCATCTCAGCATTTGGAATGAACCCCGATGACGCTATAAATAGAAGCCAAAAAAATAAAGTTTTGGAAAATCCGAAATAACGAATTAATAATAAATAAAAACCACGATTGGTGGTACCAAGTACAAGGCCAACTCCACATCGCAAAGAAACATTTGTGCCTTTTTGCTGTATGGACAGGGCCTGAGCAACCACTGAAAGTTGAACAAATATATAGGGACGATAGTTTTTGGAAGACTAAGATGGAAAAAAGGCCTTTTACCAGAAATAGTTGATCCAAGAAAAACTCGCTCAATGCCACTGAGAGACACAACATTTTAATAATTTTTTATTTTAACCGATATTGGACATAGATTTAAACTAAATAGGCCGAATGTTTTATCAAAAATACAAGTATTCTTTAGCACGTTCGGCTTATTTTTACCAAAATGTGTACTTTGTATCCCTCATGGATAAAAATAAATTCAAAACATTGAGTAAATATTATAAAAGAAACGAGTATTATCAATTTTAAAATCAAAGTATTTACTTGACGTGTACGTCACGCACTCGTGCTCTGTATTTTATTTATCCCTTTAACAATCTGTTTCTCATATACGGCCTAATATTTAAATTTAAATGTTTTGCATTTACAAAAACTTAGTTTGAAATCACGATGTTTGATTTTCGGGCAAATACCAGTAAGACATGTTAAATTTGTCTGTACTCTCTAGCAGATATTAATGAGAACGCAGAACGAAAACATTGAATTACTTAAATATATATGCATAGTGTGTTTGTCTAACACATTTCTTTTTATTTTCATTTTACGTTGATTGTAATAAATATACTAAACTATTATACAAAAACATCCCAGACTTTTATTTCTAAACCGTACTTACTATGTATCCTAAAATAATTATCAACTAAAGGATCAAAATTGTTTAAGCGAGCACTGCGCTCGGTCGGAGTCGGTAGCTGTGTGTGCGTAAACGATAGCACCGCAATGCATTTGCCTAAACTCTATCGAATAAATTTTCTGCACGGCCTCTCAAAATGTGCTGCTAAACTGATCAGTAGCTCTAAAATCTAAAATAATTTTGTTTCGTAAATATAACTTCGAAAAAGTCGTCTATCCCACTAATATTTTTCGATGCGTTCTTTAAAGTATACCCCGTATAATTAGTATAGTTTATAGTTTTAAAGGTTTATATGGACACTTTTTCATACCCCCCGTTATGGAGTGTAGAAGTAAGGAGTACAGACTGTGTATAAAAGAACAGAGAAGAAGTGTCCATAGAAAACCGTTAAATAAGGGTGGCGCTACTATACCTACAGGGTAAATTTTAAAGAACGCACCGAAAAATATTAGTGGGATGGACGACTTTTTCGAGGTTATATTTACTAAATAAAATTATTTTAGATTTTAGAGCTACTGAGCAGTTTAGCAGCACACTTAAACCGTCGACAACTGCTAAGTTCATTTCATCCCAGTAGCTACTCCAGCGCTGTTGTGGAGAGTTTTTGAACTGTTATTTACTACTTACAGATTATACTTAAGTTTGCACGTAAGATCTATTTATATTAAGTTTACTTTGTAAACAGTTAACTGATAGGATGGTGATGTTTATGTTTGCTAAGTTTTAGTTTATAAATTAGTCTTATAGTTTACATACCTTACTTATATATATATATATATATATATATATATATATATATATATATATATATATATATATAATGTTCCCTTTTTTATTGCTTTTTTATGTTTATTTAATTTATGTATTATTTTTGTCTATGAATTATGACTGATGTTGGGTCGTTTAGCTCTGCAAATGATTCTTATGCCTTGTCACTTTACTCTTGTGATGATTCTTTTAACCACAGCGTGCTTGATTTACACCAACTGCTCAAAGGAGTTTTTGCGTCTTTTAGCAACTTTTTGAACATATGTCTTATAAACGCTCAACGTATCCCAAGCCACTATACTGAACTCGAAGCGTCATTTTCGCTCGAGCATATTCATGCCATATTAGTGTCGGAAAGTTGGCTGAAGCCTTCTTTACCGTCGACTTTATATCCACTACCCAGTTTTGTACTTATTAGGAATGATCGTGTTGGAAGTTGGAGGTGGTGTAGCCGTCTATCTACCACGCATCAATTCCTCATAAAATTGTTTTAGCATCTCCTTCCTCTTATTCCACCTCTTCTGAGTTTTTATTTGTGGAACTCGATGTCAAGAGTATAAGGATGCTTTAGGGGTAGTGTATTGCCCCCCTTCGACAGACTACTTCGCCACTTTCGATATAGCTCTTGTTGTCATTTGTTCTGAGTACACACACTGTATAATCATGGGTGATTTCAATACAGATTTGATGAAAAAGTCTTCACGTTCCAATAAGCTTCTTTCAATTGTTGAGTGAGGTAATCTTTCTATTCTCCCTTTAAAGGCTAGTCATCATAATATTGGAACCGATGACTCATTGATTGATCTTATGTTTGCTGCCTCTCCTGATCGTGTAATGTTGCATGGTCAGTTACCTGCTTTGGGCATCTCACGTCATGACTTAATTTACGCTTCGTATAAGCTTAAACCTCCCAAATATTCCCCTTCTGTACTGCTTCTACGCAGATTTTCTAAAATAGATTTTGACAAGCTAAGGAATGACGCTCTTAATCTCGATCTTGCCTCATTTATTGAAGCCTCTACTGTTGACGACAAAGTCTCTATTCTTAACCGTAAAATTCTCAGCCCTTATGATGCTCATGCTTCAGTTCACAAGGTTAGATTGAAGCGTCCCCCGGCACCATGGATGACAGAGGGCGTAAGGTTAGCAATGTCTAGACAAAATCGAGCTTTTCTTCGTTTCAAGAGAGAACGGATTGAAGAAAATTGGTTGTCTTTTAAAGCAGCTAGGAATAGGTGCAATCAAATGGCACGGTCAGCTAAACATCGATATTTCCATAGTTGTGTTAACAACTCTTCTCCCGCCGAACTGTAGAAATTTCTCAGAAGTTTTGGTCTCTGCAGGCCAGCTACATTGGATTGTGGTACTTCTCTATCACTTGATTAAATAAACCATCATTTCGCTCTGTAAAATCAATGGGCCCTACAATTTGCACCCAAACTGTTGCTTCCATTGCTTCTATGCAAATTCCTAACATACCTACCATTAAATTCTCTCCTGTTTCTCAGTATGATGTCAAAAAGTCTATTTTAGCAATTCAGTCCAAGGCGGTGGGTTATGATGAGGTTAGTAGACACATGGTAGTATTTATACTAGAGCACCTTCTTCCGGCTATATCCCATATTATAAATGTTTCTCTTGATTCAGGTCAGTACCCTAATCTTTAAAAAAGGGCTTTTTTATATTCGCTCCCAAAAGTCCCTACTCCCATTCTTCCCAATCATTTTCGCCCTAAATCCATTCTACCCTTTCTTTCCAAAATTTTAGAATCCTGTGTTTACAAGCAAATTTGGAAGTTGAAGCAAAAGAAGAGAGCATGGCTAGATTTACTAGCAACAAAGGCTGGTAATTCTAGCGGTACGAATGATGATATTGAAAGAAAAAAGGCAGTCTTTAGACATCTTAATAAGAGAGTAAAAGAA